CCGTCGATGAAAAAGCTGTGCCAAACAGGGCCTTCGTTACGCCAGCGGGCAAAATAGCCTCCAGCTGTGGAAATTTTATAATTTTGTTTAAATTTGAATTTTATTTCTTGTTTTGGTTTGAAATTTGAACATGTTTCAATAAAAAACTAAAATAAAAATAAAATTCATGTTAAATGAAGTCTAAGAATTTGTTTTTTTTTTTTGCTTTTATTTTAAAAATATGTTTTTTTTAGTATAATTTTTACATGTTTTTTATCTTTATTTTAAACAATTATTTAGTTTATTTTTAAAAATATTTAAAATATTTAGAAATTATTTTGAATTTTTTAAAAAATAATAATAATATTTATAACATATTAAATTAATTTATTTTAAATTAAATTAAATTAAAATTAAAATTGTATCACTTTTAATTTTTTATCTTAAAATATTAAAAGACCTCTCAATTTTGGGGTAATTATGGTCTTAAATCGTTAAAGAAAACTTTATTATTAAGAGCGACTAATATGATTCATTTGATCAGGTGGTTGGAAAAAATATTTGCCAAAGAACCAAAATTCTCCTACCCTAGATTATATATATATAAACCACCACTCTTCATTTGAGAGGAAAATGAGCAGAAGATAAATTTGAAAGCGTCTTATGTGTTGAAGATCGGTGATAACTTCCAGCATTTGTTGTCATAGACTACTATCGACCACCGTTAACCACTGTCGGCCATCCCTGTTTGTCGTCACTGACCTCCTACTGTCGACGTCCCATGCTCGTAAACTTCATATCCCAAATACGGTTATAAGATGTTACACATGTATTGAAGACCCGACGATAACTTATAACATTCATAGCAACCAATCACCGCCATCACCTACTGCCATCGACCACTAGCCACTAAAAACCACTGTTTATAATTGTTATTGTACGAATATGTTAATTGTGTGCACCTATATTTTATTATATGCTATATACCAACAAGTGTTGTGTCTGGTGTAAAATAGTAACCCTATTATCATTTGCACTTACACATAGTGAATTAGTTTGAGTAGGCCGGTCCCAATGTTTTTTTTCCCTTTTAAGTTTATATACCAACAAGTGTTGTGTCTGGTGTAACACTTACACTTACCTGCTATTTTTCTATTATTTATGTATCTGTTGGATCTGAATGCGACACTAAAATATTAGATTATCACATTGCCACCACAAATTTTTCTGCGTAATAACTATTAGTTTTATTTGCAAAATATATAATCAATTAAATTTAATATGTATAAAAGTAATCTTGAGAACTATTTAATGACATTTTTTCATTTGTAAATCATAAAATTATGTTTTATGGTGTACATTATGTTTGTTCTAATGACAAGACTAAGAAGATACAAAAAATGGCATCCACTATCGTTTTGACGATGCAGGCCAATTCATACTATAGAACAAGTTGAGGAAATACTAATGAGAAGAAAAATAATATTAAAAAATGGATTAATTTCGAAATTATTAAGAATACATAAATAATCATTTGATTTTTATATCAAATCACCTAAAGAAGACTTCTAGTGTTCTAAAATTCATCATAATTAAATTTTAATTAGAAATATTTTTCCTACTTTTTTTTAAAAAAAATTAGTAAAAAATATCCGACTAATTTTTTTATTCAAACTGTCTTGAAATTAGAACAATTATAATTGTTGCGTGTATCCAAAGATCCATGGCAGTCGAGTGATAATTTAATATTTTAGTGTTCCATGTAGGTCTAACACACAAGCATATGATAAAAGAGAAACATGAGAAGACAACGAGATTTTTTACATGGAAAAACTCGGAAAAGAAAAAAAATTACAAGGCATAGTCCAATCAAAACAATTTACTATAAATACTAAAATATACGTTTTTTTCTCCCAACTGAGAGAGCAGGTTTCTAAATCTACACCAAATATTATGAATCTACTTCAAATTACAAAAAACTTCTCAAGTCAGAAAAGTATGACAATATTATGAATATGACGGTTGTAAATAGCAGTCCTTATAAGTTATTTTTGGATCCATAATAAGTAATTATATGTTACAACCACATTTCAGATACAACGTTAGCAAATAGAGGTTGTCGATGACAACGAGTAGAAGCTGCTAGTGGTGGTCAATAGTGATTGACGGACAATGGTCAACTATGGTCTTCATCTATGGAGGCTGGGAGTTTTTACCAGGTCATCAATATGACATTATATGCTACGATCATATTTGAGATACGTATGACGTCGTTAGCAAGTAGGGGTTGTCGGCGGAAGCGAGTAAGGATGGCTGATAGTGGTTGTCTCGCCTTCGCGGTCGAAGGAGGCTAATGGGTAATGGTCAACTGCAATCAAATGGCTTTGACCGACGGCAGTCGACAGCTACGGAGGCCGGGAGTTATCATCGATTCTTTAGTCCACAACAGTTTCTGAAATTCCTTCTCTTATCATCCCCCGAGTGAAAAGATGATGTTTATTTATAGTCTATGATTGTGGGCATTTTAGCCTTTTGATGAATAACTCTCACAACATAATCAAACTACTCATATTGATCTCTTTTGATCATAAATTTTTTTTAATAATTTGAGAGCTTTAATGATCTTAGAATTAAAAAAAGCTTAGTCTCATTGTATTCTTTCTGCAGAAACGCTCGATTTAAATATAATTAGGTCAAATTTTGAGTTCTTTTGACCATCCTATTGACGATCCAAAGCCACTAATAGTGTTTTAATGGTTTGATCTTAGCTTGATTGAACTCCGATTAAACTGATTTTTGTATCATTAGGTTCGTCTTGCCGAGACATGATCTTGACTACAAACTAGCGAAAAATAGAGCCCTAAATAATCTTGTTTTAAATCTAGGATATTTCTTGCTTAAAAAATATCACGACAATCGTGTTAAATGATCAAATTGATTCCATAGATAATATATTCACATTAAATAAAATTTAATGGTTTAAAGATTCATCTTATTTAAAATTGGATCGAGAACTAATAAAGTCTCCATAATTCATGTAAGAATACATAATGATATCTCAATAATGATATCTAAATTGAAGGATATCTCAATTGCAACTTGTTTTTATACATATATATTTTTAAATGCAACTTGGTTTTGTCACGGGTCATAGAAGAAATGCCAACTTTCAAGGAAATATAATAAACCCTAGAAATTAAAGTATGCCCTACATGCTTAATGAGATGGACAGCCTATATGTGCTAAGCAGATGGTATCATGCTTAATGAGATGGACAGCCTATATGTGCTAAGCAGATATATCATTGCTTTATGAATGGATTAGACCAATAAACATGTCTTTAACCGCGTTAATAGCTTTTGAATATGCACACTTGGGTATTGCACACCCGTGAGTTGGCTCATGAATTAACCGTAATGAACTAACAAGTCAAATTGAAGTCAACCTCAACTTAAATAAAATGTTTTAAAAATGTATTAAATTTTAATATTTTTCTTTTAAAATTTTAAAAATATATAAAAATGATATTTTTATTTTATATCAACTAATTTCTTATTAATTATCTCTTCAAATTCATCTTAATTATAATTTATTACAAGTATATTTTGAATTAATATTATTTTTTTTCTTTCATAATAAATGAGATAGTTCTAATTAGTAGAATTAAACTGGAGCTCGAACTCGTTTAATTAATCAAGCTCAAGCTAATCAAGTCTAATGTGCCTTCAATTTTCTTTTTCATATAAAATTAATTAATCATGCTTAAGTTGATAGAGACACGTATTCATCCTCGACTTGATCAAACTCAAGCTTACATTACTTGATCAAGTCAAGGACGAGTATGTACCTTGAACAGCTTGAGCTTGATTAATTTTATATAATTAATTTAAAGTCACATGTCAATATGACATATTGATATCTGACTTTAAATAATTTATATAAATTTTGATTCTATTTACTAAAATATAAAATAATTTTACTATCAACTTTATTTCAGAATCTGTGGAAGGTGAAGAAAAAGGAGAAAAAGAAAATGTTAGGCAAGTGCTAAGTGACGAGAAAAAAAGTCCCAACGACAAGGTGGAACACACCACTCAGTTGTGTACAAGTCGTGATGTGATCTAGGCCATCATCTGGACGGCCGTTTATCCAGATGCAAGTGTTTAGAAGCTAGATGTGTAAACACATAAGAATTAATTGGTATGTATGTAAATCTTCCCAAATAATAATAAAATGATTCAGAAGAGAAATATGTAGAAGGAAAACTTAGGCGCATTTGAGACCTATATATATAT